CTTTTTACATTGAGAGGTAAATTTTTGTACCACATACACCAGTTTCACTGGCCCAAGTGTAATTATGCCATAGGGAGAAGGGGGGAGGGGGGATGGGGGTCTACTCTCTGTTTCACAAGCCCCAGGGTACTAACCAAAAACAATCCAGTTAACTGGCCGTGCCTAGACAAGGGCCCTGCTTTAGCTGAGACTCCTATGTAATAGCCTGGTTATAAAGTTGTGAATTTCGCTGACTGGTGCAGAAATACAGAAAACTACACCACTCAAGTGATAATTACTTCGCTTTGGTGCTGTAGTGCTGACCGAATATGCTGCACCGATACAAAGGTTTTATCTAAACATCTCACCATGCTGTCTCAGAAAGAATGGCTTCATTTAGTTACCCTTTCTCGATAAAATGAATAATAAAAAGTGTCCACACTAGGGAAAGAGACAGAGTTAGAGCCACTAAACATTGACATCAACATAATATATCCAACCAGGACTTTCGGTAAAAATAGTGTGTGACTTCCATATTATATGTTCACTCTTTCAACCCCTCCTCCCCTCCCCCAAAGACACAATATCTGACCTAACGAGACCTCACATTAATTAGTATTGAAAAGCTAATACATTTAATATCAGTTCCTAATCCATACACAGTAGTCAAAACCTTCACCACTCATGCCCCACACAAACATAGAAACACCAAGATATTAAAGACTTTCCACAATAATAACTAATATCAACTCATTGTATTTTAAAGCACAAAACAAATCAATCCATACAAAACACAAAGCCTTTTTACCCCACCTGATAAATTCTTGAAAAAAAATCTGATAAGGTCCAGACCACCAGAAGCTTCTGAGGACTTCAGAAAATCCACATTAATAGGTCTTCTCTTTCTATAACCGAAAAACTATTGATGGGACATTACAAACTGACGTTGGCTCTTTGTGACTAAATTGGGGCCCAAAATGAACCTGATCAATACCTCTTGGTAATCCATGCCCGCTGGGGTCAATGACCAATTAACTTGGCCCCAACAATGGATTATTCTTTGTAAAGCACTTGGCTACTGGTACCATAGCTAGTTCACATACTGATTATACTTTTTTCTTTGTTCATTATGATACATATGGGCGCCAAGATGGATATTAAAGATGACAATGTGATCACATGCTGCCAGTGCAGGTAAACGGAGGTGGTGGTTACCAAGTATTGATTGCGCTACTGTAAGACGTCCCATGTCTTTGTTCATGTGATCTGTGGATTAAGACTATCAAATAGTATTCAGTGCAGGATTACACCTAGTGGCTCGAAAACATTATTACAGAGATGAAAGTGGACCTACTAAAAATATTCTATCAATGCAAGAGCCAAAGAGAGCATGGGGAGGATAGCTTAACACCAGATTAAATGTACAACACCCAAATGTAAAATTTCTCTATCCTTTTACTCACTGATTAATTATTTTAATTAATTAATTAATTAATTAATTAATTAATAACTTTACATAATTCATTATTTCATTAATCTTCCATGTTGACTTAAATTGAAAATTTTTTACTGGTATGTGACAGTTTCCCTGAACTCTATGTCTTTAAAACATTTATAATGGTAATATTGCAACTTGGATCAATAATCAATATTTTATAAATGGTGGTGTTCCTTTCTTTCCCTCTCTCTTTGACAGTCTTCCTCCATTAATGAGTTCTCCAATGTATGAGTAACAATGGCACAATATTTACATCAAAAACAATGTCTTCGTCCAGATAAACTCCACACAGGAAGTTGGATTGATCAGGCTATTTTCATGACATAAATTATTCACCGAGAGGAAACCAAGATGGTGTCACGTTAAATGACTACTCCTACATAAACTGTTTTACGATTACATAATCAGTGATGAAAGTGGAACTTTTCAAAGATCCTAAAAATTGCAAGCAACAAAGGTGCCCAGCTCTATATTGGGTAATAGGGGTCCAAGGGGATAAATACAACGACATATATATCCAGATAAATCCATAAATACATATATTGAGATATTCAGATATTAAAGCAAAATGTCCAGATAAATCAAAATATTAAGACAAAATCTGTCAGACTTTGATCTCTACACTACTAACAGTTTTCTATGAGTTATTTATCCCGATTCCAATGAGTTGAATTTCCTTTTTTTCTCAATTGCAAGGGATATCAAAAGATGGAGAAGTTATGGAGGGAGAAAAGTGGTCACAGTGATGGACATGTAACAGGATGGCCCTGTTAATTCCCCCCCCCCCTCAAAAAAAAAAAAAAAAAAACTATTCAATACCCATTGAAAAGTCCTTTTTACAACTAATATTGTGATCTCAGTGTTTGGACAACATAAACATAATAAACATCCCTCATAACTGATAAATAATTCAATTTGGTTTTAAAAAAAGGTCTGTGGTACATTCCACTATTTGTACAGCAATGGCAACATATGGATTTGTTAAGAATGGCATTAAATTTTTAAATTAGCGCAGTTGTCAGTGTAGCATGATTAACATTTAAGTCTTAGCTTTTAGAATGATAAAATGCTTTGCTTTATTATGTAAACAATCCACAGTTAGACAGTATTAACTATAAAGGCATGACCATCATGGGAATTGAACATTTCAGTCAATGTTTTTAGATTGTCAGTAACCTCTTTTTTATCTCAATGCACAGCTTTCAACATTTTTCTGGTTTTAAAAGGCAAAGTGCTTTTCAATCCTCACAAACCGAGTAGAATATCCACTAAACTGACAAACCATGAAAAATGTCATTATTGCATGATGTTTTGTGCATTATTCATCCTCTGAGTGAACTTTCTACAACACCTACACATAGCCCAGTCATTTCACACAGATAAAATTTTATTTCTAGTTTTTAAGCTTGGGAATTGCGTTGGGAAGGGGGCGAAAAAAAATTGTCCTTTTTTTCTGAAAAAAAGGTCCACTCTGAATCGAAATTTCTATACCACTTCTAAAATAAGGATAAAAATGATGTAGAAAGGCCCACTTTTTAAAAGAAAAATACCCTCCCCCCTTTGAAATTGCTGACTAGACCTAATATATATTGCCTAGCTTAAAACAACTGATTGATTTTTCAAGCTTGTTACTAGATTAGTAACTAAACCAATGGTTGTTTGTCAGAAGTAATTGGAGGCTGAAGGTGTCTTGATGATTGTTTCTTAGAACGTGTACATGCACGTATGTGGGACTATGTATATGCATATGTACATGTATGTGTGTTAGCCCTATTTAACTTTCCAAAGAATACCTACTCTACAGCTTAATCTAAGATCTAATAAACGGAGATCTTAGGCTTAATGTAGACATTACCACAACTGACCATAATCCATGGATTCTTTTGAACTCTACTTAAAAATAACTGCACTTTCAAAAAATCCAATAATGGCAACTGCAGGTATAGTAACTCAGCCAGCTAACCATGCAAGCCCACTAATCCCTGCCTCCTGTTATAACCCTTTAAATGAATAATTAATACAGTATTGACCACTGTATTATTTTGGACAATTAGAGCATGAACTGCAATCTATCTAACAGCATTCTCAGGTATTGATTGTACTACATTACATTACATGGTTATATACATGTGTATATATACATTACAGAGGCAATAAGAAACCACTTCCTATGTTTGTACAGAGTTGCCAATTCTACACATTTACACATATTTTTCATATATATTATTTAGGACAGACTACCAATTTGTTTATAGGTGTTGTTCTGTCGTTAATATACTCATGTTACTACTAGATACAGGGACGGATCCAGAGATATTTTCTGACAGTTTTCCAAATTATCTTTGTTGATCCATTCTCTATTTTTGACCGTCTTCTGACAGAAAAAATTAGATAACTCGTCAACCTTAACTTGAAAATCTGACCGTGTTCCAGAAGACCCAGAAGACGGCCTCAATCTGCCCCTGAGACAGCAGAATTTATGTATTCTGATTAATGTCATGTTAGCAACACATTGGGATGAAATTATAGTGTTGTTATATGTAAGAAAAATGCAAAAAAGATTAGATCATTTTAATTAATAATAATAATTATAAGAAGAATAATGTATCTGCTTTTGCCAATCAGGGAACAAACCAAAGGGAAAAAAAACATAAATTGGGCTATGTATTTCCATTTAATTTTTTTATTTCTTTTTAAACAAAATTTATTGTTAAAGAATGTTTACATACTACCAGTAACTGGATCCAGTAAAGTTAATATATATTGAACATGGAGAATAGTGCTGCTCCCCCTCCCCCCCACTCCCCTCCCCCCGGGGACATGGTTATTGCACAGAAGACCACGCCCAGTTATAAGTATACCTAGGAGAAAAAATTACATCGCCATTTCTTTGGAAAACATATACACTCTTTACTTTTGAAGATATGTCAGTTTGTAGAATACACATAAAAGTGTGGAGATGATAACTTTGCTGGGGTAGCGCTAGCAATTTTTTTCGCTTAGCCAAATCACCACTATTTTGTTATCAAAATTATTATAATTTGACTAAAACAAGCCAAATCAAGCCCTTTTTCTTTAGCCAATTTAAGTTAATTTTAGCATTTGGCTAAATTGGCGAGTGTTAGCACTACCCCAGCTTTGTACAATTGCTACCAAACATAATATCAACAAATAGCAAGAAGACAAAACTGTCAACATTTTTATGAATGGTTCCACTAAAAAAACAAAGTGAAAAAGCTACCAGAGGCTAAGCTGTGCATGCAGGAAAGTTAATCATCCCCTAACTGCTAAAAGGGGTGTGTCATTCAGTTAAACTGATTGCATTCAGTGAGATTCCAAGTTCAGTTGGAGCAATCTACCAAGAAGAATGCTTTTATTGGTAATGCAACCCCAGACACACTTACATCTTATCCCTGCTTGATGGAGGGAGATCACAGATGTGCTTGTTGAGATACTTGGTCACAACCAAACACATTCTGCCTAGTGACCATTTCAGAGCAAACTGAGAAATAAAATGCCTCACCTTTCATCTTCTGCATTCCCGACTCTGAAATCTTGTTGTACTTCATCAGACTCAGGCCTGGAAACAGATAATAATGAATGAGAAAGAAAATCAGTGTAAAATGTAAATCATACTGCCATCCCCTAATCAACGGAGAGGGGTTAAAAAACAATTAAAAAAAATCCTTTCGGTTGGAAAAGGTTCACTCTGAATCAAGGTTTTGTTCCAGGATCTATGCCATTTGTCAGATTCTGTCAACTACAGGGGTTGAAAAGCTCCATTGAAAAAGATTCCCCCCCCCAGCCTTCCTCCCACCCCATGTGTGACACTGCTGGCTAAAGGCCTCTTACAGTGTGACATTAAAATGAACATGAAACTAATTACTCAGCCGAATATTGAAATGGAGCAAATCCACGAAATTTCCCAAACATGGATGCATATATCTCCACACATAAAAGCACTCTCACACATGCCCATACGCACACACACACACACACACACACACACACACAAGGTGCAAAGAGTACATGCACACATATACCCGTAGTGTTCCTCTACCTGTGTCCAGTGACAGCTTCCTAGCTGCCTTTCTCATTGCTCCCAGCATGCTCATGGCACAAGAGTTTTATCAATCTATGATTAAATAATATAGCAAAGATGTCTAAATCTCATGCAGTTCTTCCTCTTTGATCTCAGAAGTCAATTGTTTGTTAATCCACAAAAAAAAAAAAACAACTTGTCTAGCCTGTCCACAGAAGTGTTAAGAGTAAAATGCCACCATTAAGTATGTTTCTGTCTACCACGTCCTTGGCACTTAAAAATCGCCAACGTATAAAACTCTGACCAAGAGCCATCTTCCATAGCAACATATCTTATTATTGCTGTTAGTGGTTATAGTGGTAGTTGTTTTTAGCAGTTCAAATCCACAGAGCACTAAGTAAGGCATCATTTGTTTTACAGCACACATGCACCTCTGTCTGGCACTATTTTTTCCAGAGAATGCAAATTTCTGAGAACTGAACCTGCCAAAATGTTCACAGCACAGTGTATAGTTACTCAGGCTACACGGCAGCAAGTTTGGTGTTTCACTCTAAATCTTATGTGTTTGCCTTTTTAACACCGCTGATAAGGACAAGCGCACTTCTGAATAGAGGGAAAAACTATGCCAAACAGAGGCTCGCCAGGGGTAAATGTGATTCTTGAGTCATTTTTTCTATTCAATTAATAAACCTAAATTTATGGTTTTGAATTTTGCCTGTTCTTGTTAACTATATTTACAGACAAAAGCTAAAAGTGTGTTCCTATTATAACTGTGTGAAAGTAATAAAAACAGTGTTTTGATTGAAATTAAGGTAGTAAACATGGACATAAATAAAAAAGAATGGAGTACTCGGGCAAAAAATCTTTATTTGAAAATAAAACCAATTCCACAGTTTTATTTTAAAATATATTTATATGACATTAACATATTTGTGGAAAGGAATCACTTAACCCAATATATGAAAACTGTCTGAGAATGCACTGGGCGTGTAAGAATGAAGCTGTAAATTTCTATGTCCCCCTCCTCTCAGCCCCTAAAACTACTCTCCAAACACATTGTGCAACCCTCTCTTTTTCAATGCCTCTATTTGCCTACATTATCTCTCTGCTAAATTATCTACACCTTGCAAATTGTGCTTTACTTTCATCAGAGAATAAAATAGTAAATGATTGGTATGTACACAAAACATTGGTTTGAATTCAGTCTCTCTATTATAGTCTAATCAAGAGTCAATCTGTCAGCTAAAAGCCATAATATGTCAACTTGGTAATAATAAATTACTTTATGGCTTTTCTGCATACAACACTTGTCAAGTGAATTGTCTATGAACTCTGATTTCAATCCACTGAAATTTTGTGTACTTTGTAACTGTAAAATTTACAAATAAATTCCGATTAACAATCACGTGGAATGCACTTTATTCACACTAGGTGTGTTCAGTAAATTAATTCATGTTAGCACTACTCAAAAATAACAAATGAATACAGTTTGAAAAAAGATAAACTAGTAGTAAAGCATTCAAGGATGGGACGGAGCAAAAACTGAAAAGCTGAATTGAATTATTAAAAACAGACTGAATCAAATAAAGCATGAACTGGTCTCTACTTTCTCCTTTTTAAAGGCCACAGTTAACAGTTTTTACACAAAACAAAAAATATTGTTTCTAAAATCTAAAATAGCAGTATTATTATCTGTGTTATTATCATTATCTTTGCCTTAAAATTTCAAGGACAGTAGATTTTGTCCATACTATTAGTCTACAGATTCTGTACCCCATGAAAAATGTATTATCGACAATGTTATGTAAATACTTAAGAGTTCATTTTCATTGCTTCTTTTTTATTCTATTAATTTTGTACACAGGAATACTGATCTTCTAAACGACATAACAAGCACTGACAAATTGGGTAACAAGAACAAATATCAATCTAATTGGCACAATGAGAGCTGTGATGAATAATTGAGCAAGTTAATTGAAATGGCGGTATTGCTATTGATTTGCTATGAGAAGGAAGTTAGCACTGGCACTTTACAATGACTGAAAACTTATAATGAACACCTCATTGTCAATTTAGGGAAAGTAAATGGAAATGTCTTGCTTTTTTTCTACTTTGCTAGATTCATCCTTTCTCTCATTTTTGATACAGAAAACAACTGATATCAATTTCTTTTTGAAACACTGTTTCTCTCTCACTCTTCTTCTTTCTCTTTCTCTCTTTCTTTCTCTTTCTCCCTTTTTCTCTTTCTCTCTCTCTCTCTCTCTCTCTGTGCATTTTTCCCTCTCTTTCTCTTTCAGATGTATACACAGAGATATACAGACTGCACAAAAACTCCATTAAGAACTTCATTCCAGCTTCAGCTTTATTCTTCCTCCCATCCTCTTCTTCCATCCTCTCCCTCTCCCCTTCTTTCTCTCCCCCTCCTCTCACTCACCCTCTCCTCCTCACCCTCACCCCTTCCTCCCATTCATTCCTCCTCCTCCTCCTCCTACTCCTCCCCTCCCCCTCACCCCTTCCTCCCATTCATTCCTCCTCCTCCTCCTACTCCTCCCTTCCCCCTCACCCCTTCTTCCCATTCATTCCTCCTCCTCCTCCTCCTCCTCACACTCACCTGTCTCCTGAGGTATGGCCACCACCTTGTAGGCAGCAGAACCATCAGGTCTGAAAAATTAAAAAAAAAAAAAAAAACATCCACAAATCTCAAGCGACTCAGATATATAAATAATTTCTTTTTTTAGTTTCATTATTCCTTGTCACCCACAAAAACCCTGCTGCATGTCACATATTTTAAAAATACAAATAATCCTTTTTAAGAATTGTGCACCTTGGAAAGCCCTCCTCTAATGAAATAACAACTGAATAATTCAAACAGTCCACTTAAAATACACTAAATATCCAGACAAAATAATTAGTGAGAAAAAAACATATAAGTTTAAGGGGGCATGTATTCAATTAATTAAGACTGAATAGGCAATAATGGCAAAATTTGCAGCAACTCTGTAATAAAATCTTTGTAATCTATAGGCATGTTTCAACACTTATGAGCTGACCATGGCCTAGAGAGAATAAGTAGTAAGTATGTAGTAGGTATGTTCAGTGTAATGAACTCAACATGTGTATTACAACAATTTTTACTATTATAATTCCATGTATTCTACCCACCTGGCCATTCCTTGAATAGTTATACCCATTATGGAGGCTTGAAATAAGTCCTCTTACTCCAGTGATATCGGTGTACTCCAATCTCTTATTTTTTAGAGAATAAGTCTTTATATGGACATTGCTTCGTGTCCGCACTCTAAGTTATGTATATCATTATGGATAGGAATAATATAATAGTATTGATATCATCCTTTGGTGAATATCTATTTATAAGCTCAACAGTGCTAATGTATCATTGTTTTTAAATATCCCAATTGAAAATAAACTTGATTTATCTTGACAACTTATGAGGTGTTCATTGTTTTTTTTTAAATTAAGGCCAGTGCCTAATATACTTAATACATTCCAAATCCAATATAAACTTTCAAAATCTGATTGAAAGTTTTTCATTGGTTCTTGCCACAAACAAAACCGCTGTTAATACATATTACTCTCAGACACAAGCCACAGTATGTTTTCTAACTTATTTTCACACCTGTAATTCTGGCATTGTTTTCTAGGTTTTTGTAGAATCACATACAGGTATTTTGAAACTGACAGCACGTGCTTTGTGATCAGCCACAAAATAATAATAAGTCTCCAGAACTGGCTGTAATGAGGACTATGACCGTCCTGCTGACTCAAAGTGATTCCAATGATTTACAACTTTAAAAATCCAGACTGGTCCTTGCTCATCTTGGCTATCTGATTACAATTCAAAAATTTTCAGGCAAAATGGCTGCTGTAATTTCCAAAGTTTCCAGGTTGGTAATTCACATCAACATTATATCACAGCAGCTATAATGTCCACACTGTATAGTCTTTAGGCTGACTGAGGTGCAAATCCATTTAATCACACCAATAAAATTGGATTTAAAAAAGTCAATTTTTCCCAGGATGACTTCATGAGCAGTAAAATGGTTAATTGCTGCCCCAACCTTTAATTGGCTTATCATGGAATACAAAAAATGTCATTGGAGCAAAATAAACGTAGCTCATGTTTTTATCGTTATCATTCTTCATGACACTAACTCAACAAAAACGTTAAGTATGATTTTTAGATATATCTGCCCTCTTAAAAGAGTAGATTTAATTCATATCAAGACAATCTCTCTTCCAGTAGCCTTGCAGTTAAATGCCCCTAATGTCAACAGTAAATCAGGTAAACAAGATCAATAATATTTATTGATAAGTTTGGACCAGATCAATACAAGAAACCGTGTGCCTATTGTGAACTATGGGATCAGTCAGCTCATTCAAGTGAATGAATGATATGAACAAAGACCCTGTTGCGTGTTGTGGGGGGGGGGGGGAGGGGGGTAGTGATGAAAGGGCATACATTGAACATGATCGTGGCTATATATACTGTACATTATTACCTACATTGTGTAACAGATAGGCGGTACACCATTCTCAGATTTGCCTATGTTTAATTCAGAGGCGGATCCAGAAATATTTTCTGACAGTCTTCCAAATCATCTTTGTTGATCCATCCTCCATTTCTGACCGTCTTCCGACAGAGTAAAATTAGATACCTGTCCGTGTAAATTTGAAAATCTGACCGTCTTCCGGAAGGGGGCGTCTCGATAGTCCGAAGGTTCATTGGTCCGAAGGTTCATTGGTCCGAAAAGTGGTAGCACTTTTATCGATTTTTTAATCAAGGGTTCATTGGTCCGAAGGTTCTATAGTGAACATTCGGACCAATGAACCTTCGGACTATTGCTACGGCCCCATTTCACTCACCCACTATTGCAAATATCCATCTCGATTAAAAAACCTCAGTTTTCTACACTCTACACAAATTTCCCCAAGAGGACGGGAAAAAGTCTGTTACCCTTCAATTTAGCGTGGCTTGTCGCCCGTCAACCCGGAAGTGATGTTGAAAGTCCCGCCAACATTCACGATATCTCTCGAGATCATCTTTTTTTACCTTAATAATTTATTTATTTATTTATTTATTCCATTTACTTTATGATATATAAAAACTGATACTGCTTGTAACTGGGATTAACGCGAATAAAATGCTATATACATGTAAGAATGAAACTATCCTTAAATGCTGTTAATTACAGCGTAACTACAATTATTTGTACCATTATACTTTTGAATAGCGCTGGCTTGTTACAGTGGACTTGTTATATCTTTGCCTGGTTTTTTAACATTTCTGTGAAGTGTTCATAATGCTTTAATATTCTGAGAATACAAATAAAGACACACTGTTTGTTTAATATTTGTTTTATTGATTGGTATACCAACAAAATGCATAAAATAACCTTAAATAGATTTGGTAATATGCAGCATATCTGACAGCATTCCTTTACTTAAGCAGTATTTTTTTTTCGCCCTCTCGCACCGATTTCGGGGTCCCCAGAGGATGTCATCCATAACAATAAAAAGTGTGGCCTAACGAAAAAGTCAGAATCTAACAGACATGTATACCAAAGTACATGTACCACCGTAGTGTGGACTTTCCAAAAATTACTTCCTATTGGATTTTCTGCTACTCAAATACTTGACTTGTCCCTGCACTTGGAGTCGATGTTTTCTCAATTTTTTCTTTTTTGTCTTTTTTATTCACTTCTTGACGTGTAAATCTAAATGGCCAGCCACTTTGACCAACATGTTTTCCTATACATTTCAAAAGTTTCAATATTTTTTTCTACAGTAAAGGTGAAAGAAACCTTTCAAAAGCCAATTGAAGTGTGCGCTAAAAATGCATCCCAGACAGCCTCAGNAAAAAAAAAACAATCTGGGCCATATGTGGTCCATGTCCGGCCCTAATCTGGCCCACATCTGGCCCACTTCTGGTCCACATCCGGCATGCCATACCTTTGCCAGATATTGCCAGATCTGGGCCGACATCTGGCCACATGAGCAAATGTGGACTGGGCCAGATGTGGCAATGTCTGGGCCAGATCTGGCCCAAACATTGCCACATCTGGCCCAGATCTGGCAAGCCATATGTGGGCCATACGTTTTGCCAGACATTGCCAGACGTTGCCAGATCTGGGCCAGACGTGGGCCAGATTACTGAGGCTGTCTGGGATCGTTTCTAGAACGCATCATTTAACTCAGAAATGATGGACGCCATGTTCTGATATGTGCAGTTTACAATTTGAAACATATTAGGTTTAAATACAAGCTTGAATGTTATCGAATTACAGTTCTTACCATCAAAGAATATCCTTTATGTCGCCAACTAACAAATAAAAATGAACAGAACTCACGAGGACAAATATTCCACAGTTATCAATACTGCAAATGTTGTGTCTCATTCTCTATAATATAAAAAGGCACATGTGTGAAAAACTGAGCATAAATACCATATTGCTAAAGTTCACAGTTCATTACATGTGCAAAACATACGAAAGGATGTTTGTGTTTAATCTTTAGTGGCATGGTAGTTATATAATACATAAAAATTAATATATTTATAATTTACACATTACTCATACACCGATGTTCGATGAGGGAAAATTCCAATCAACCTTAAAGCTGAAAATTTCCTCAAAAGAAAGTCCATAATCTCAATTTTGAGGGATAGAGGCTCTATCACTGAGATGAATTATAAAAATAAATAATTACGTGCAATGAAATCTGCGTAGGTCCAAAACCAGCGACCAACCATTCTAGGCCTACAGTGCTATCATGAACTGTTACGTATAGTATACGATAGACTACAAGGTCATAGACCCCTTCATGATGTCACAAAACTCTAGATGACGTCAACAATTTTACATGTGATGCTGGAGGGTAGCAGTTATCCAGGCTTGAAAACGTACGACAGGTTTGCATTTGGTGAACCGAATCCTAATTTCTTTTGGTGTTGTATCCTTTAGGTCCATCGATCTGCACGACACTTATCTATACATGTAACTGCATTAAAAAGATCGTTCTTCCACCTTCAAAATAATGGGTTTTCCTGGACGATTTGGTTTGTCTTTTCTGGTTGTTATTTCAGTCTGAAAATATATGTTATGAATACTCGATAAAGCATCAATATAATCAAGCAGTATGCTTTGTGATATAGTAGATTATATCAGAGCTCATCCAAAATAAATGTGTATAAGTTACTAGAGTAAATTTATAATTCCTTACAGCATATAAATGTCACAACAAAACACACCAGGTGTCACCGCATGTTGTACCTACCGGTGTTTCGTCACAGGTTTTGATGGTAAAACGCTGCAGTATTTTCACCAGGGCTATCTTCATCTCAAGCTTAGCCAGTCGCATACCAATACAATTTCGCGGTCCCATACCAAACCCCAAGAATGCGAACTGGTGCCTTCTGGCTATGGCGTCGGGTGTAAACCTAGCAAAATGAGAAATTAGGATGTGCTGAACATGAGGCAATTTAAAACATGGCGGGCAGCATTTTCCATAAAAAAAACTTACTTTCACTGTAGTAACGTACACGTACATGTACCAATGTTTAACACGGCTCATTCTGCTTGAACCCCACCCCCACGTGCACCCCAGCCCCTCTGAATTTTGTGACGCACAATGTTAAAAGGGGCTTATTTAAGGAAATAACTGTTCCAAATAATGTGGTGGCGTGTGTGGGCGATAAAACTATGACAAATCTATGTATAATTTTTAAAATTTCAGCCGTCGACTTTTCAGGCTAAAAGACTTGATTCTGGAGATTCTTAATTGATAGTTGCTTATATTCTTTGTTTCATCCTCTACATCCAATGCAAATTTAAAACAAGGTCTTTGGCCAAAGATTTAAGGGGGATTCTTTTTGTGAAAAATGGACCTTTTTGCCATAACGGGTGAGAAAATAGATCAATTATTGACTCGGAACATAGTATTCTTAACCAATAGGGCAGTTCGAAACCCCTTAACCCCGTTGGCCCGTGAGCCTCAAAACCAACATTTGTACCTTTCAGGATCGAATTTGTCCGGGTCGGGCCAGTAGTCCGGGTGTCTGTGTATGGTCTTGATTGGGATAACACACGTGGTTCCCTTGGGTATCTTTAATCCACGCACCACCACGTCCTCCGTGGCTACCCGGTCTACCCTGGAAAGAGGGACGAGATAATTAATTTTTATTCTTACATATATTGTGTTACACGGGCAAAGCGATACGCATTGTATACAGGTTAAACCATTTCTTTTTAATATTTGGTTAAGCAAAGTCTAATACATTTGAACACGTCAGTCGCAGGGCTATTAAGACGTATTTTAACATGTGGTCGAAATGGTTTGAAGGTATGGCCAGGTATTTCCTATTACTTTGACTTCAAGATATTGTTTGAAGAAGTTCTAAGTATTATTGCGTTAGTTGAAATTGCTTTGCACATTCTCTCGGCAGAGATGGCCATAAGTAAGAGCGCATTCTGAACAGCAGACTAACAGATCCTCGGATCAAATATGGCCGACCCACTTGAATGCTTGTTGCGTAATCCCCGAGGGAATCTATTCAGCGCTAATCGTGAATTAAGAGGAAAGTTTTTGATGGTCGCCATACCTGATCCATGGATCTGTTAGTCCGCTGCTCTGAATGTACTATAAGTGTTTGAGTTCCAGTAGCTGAAGTAAGTCAGATAATTAAGTTATATTTAGAAAGGGACTTGGCTGAGTGTTTTTACCTGACGCCTGGAGGATAGAGTCTCAGAGTTTCTAAGATCACCTGCTCCAGGTAGCCTAGATTTTTAACACTTTCGTACGTTGGATCACTCTGAATAAAGCAAACAGTAATTGTGCGTCAAATACATATTATTACATTAATATCTCTGGCGGGCAAATTGAAATAGGACTACTGCATGGATACAGGTTGACTTTTATTATGAAGCAAGATTAGGTAAAGTATCAAACGTTATATCTGCAGCACAATAAACTTTATAATTCGTGAATAATCTCTCTCTCTCTCTCTCTCTCTCTCTCTCTCTCTCTCTTAATACCCCTTGTAGTTGCTTGTCTATCTCGCTGCGCAGCTTGTCTTGCACGTGCGGATGTGTTGCCAAGAAGTACGATGCAAAGGTCAAGGTTAGGGAAGTGGTGTCATAACCAGCCACAAGGAACAGAATCTCATTGGCTGCCATCTCGGCGCGTGTTAACGCTGAAATTTCAACAAACGCACGTGTTATTATTGTGTGCAGCACATTAGGTAGAGCAAGACACCAATACCAATACGTTCCCCAAAAATTACAGGAAAACTGACACCATGGTTAGATTCAACGCAGACACTAAAAACAAATTTGTTCATTGTTTCTATGAGTGTTACGACTTTTTCCGGTGTGAAGGCTACAAAGCAAGGTGTTTATTTAGAACCAGGTCATTTATCAAAAGTGTGTGGCGTGCGTGTTTAACTTTTGTATATAGTTCAAACATAAAGGCACAAAGTATATTCACCCTTTTTCTTCCATTTACCAACTTCCTGTTCGTCTTCGGACAATTCTGACTTCTGTATGCTCATGTTGTGAGAGTTCAACAGGAGTTGTACAAGGTCAGCATAATTCTAAACATCCAAAATAGATAGATTACCTTTAGCAAAATATGCTGCAAACTATACAGTTTGCGGCAAGAAGTCTCCAGAAACAGGATTTTGCAACAAAAGATTTGTATTGCTGCAAATTTGCAGCAAATTACCAAGAGCATCTTAAGTTTGTTGCTAGTTTATAAGAAAGTCTTCAGACCTCATTTGCATGGTAAAATACCTTCTTGCCAATATGCCGCACAGTTTTCAATTTGTTACGGGTAACAGTAAAGGCAATATGAATATATATAGATGAGCACAAAAATGACTTTTGGTTTTGATGAAATCCATTAAATAATTTACCGAGACGATTACATCATAGTTAGGCCTTCATTAAGAACAAATATGAAAAGAAAACACATTATCAAAGATAAAGTTATTATCAGTTAATATTTACGACCATTCCAATACCTTTTCACTGGGGTTAAGTGCTCTCTCTTTCTCCAATTGGTCAAGAATGTTAACGAAGAAGTTCATTGTCCTTACGAACGTCACATTGAAAAATACAAATACTGGCTTGAGAAACTTCATCAGGTATGGGAAGAAAACTTGAAATATAAAGATAGAAAAATCAAATGCGAGAAAAAAATCAACAGAGAGGGGTCATCCTACAAAAAATGAACATTTGAATCACGTTGGCTACATTTTGTGCAATATTTGCATAATTTTGACTTGCTATTTATATTAAAGCACCATTGAATATGGAAAGAAATCAAAAGCAATTAAAAAGTGATGTAAAACAGCTATGCAAATATTACTCTCACGATGGCGTTCAACGTTACGGAGAAAATCGAAAAAGGCGTCAAAACAAGTATGTCCATCTATTGTAAGACAAATAGTTTTTGAAAATTTTATAAACTAAGTTAGAGGTATCCAAGACCGAAAGTGTTATAAAACAAACAGCTTCTTTGACACTTAGCCTAGACCCTTCTCACATCGGACGGTACAGTGTTATTATAACGCAGCAGTTTGACAGACCCTTACAAATAATAACGCTAGTACGGGATGGTTTACCCTATTTGGCAAGCCCTACTAAGTATTAAAGTATTAAACAAAATTAATCCGGTTTAACGTGACAGAGAGTCCCCAATGATAGAGAGTCTGCTTCCCATTCATTTGTACAGGTAAGCCGCGCCCTAGATTTTGACCCACTTAGGTCAGGCTAACCCTAACCATAATAACTAAAGGGATGGTGGACTTTCTGTTTCATGGACCCTCTGTTTCGTTACACCGGTTATCAGACTGTGTTTAGCGCGGGGTTTGCGTTTTGGTGACTCTCTTAGTTGTCAGTCTCTCAAACTGGTGCGATACATAAAATACCCCTCAGTGACTAGGGGCCAAAGATGGAAATGTTCTCACGTAATATAAGAATGACCGGACTGTGCAGGGAAGGCTCCATCAACTCCTTGGCGTTTTTTATAAAGGGGTGGTTCGGGTTGCCCTGGGCGTCCAGGTGGAGGCCAAAGCTCGTGCTGGCTATCACGTCCATTGTATAGGGATCGAACATCCTGGAACAAGACAGTTACGCCGTAAGTCCAGTAATATTTTTCTCTTATGTTTTATAACATTGGATGTATGATTTTAATATATCATTGTAAGAAACGGTGAGCTCAATCTCAGATGAATCCTTGCAGTTTTATGTTTGAAAAAACAATTTGAAATATATCTTATGACATTATACTGCAAGAGACAATTTACTCGATAAAAAACACTTGGATAGAAATGATTTAGTGAATTATGCGATAGCACCTTTTATCTCGCAACATCACAATAGTTTATAATATAATTTCTACCTCTTAATATCGATGTCTTCGTCACCCTGTGCTTTTTTCTTCAGATTTTGGACAAGCCTGTCAGCGCATGCAAGGATCAGTGCTTCCATCTTTAAAAAGGGCATCAAAAGAAATTATAGCAGTTTATAAAATTCAACATAACCGACAAGTCCCTACCAAAAGTGGCAAAGTAATTTATTTTCGAAAATTCTCGCTAGGCCTCTGTGAGCGAAATGTAACCTGATAACCCATTTTACTTGAACCCACAGCACAAAAATGTACACAGAATTAGCCAGAGAATATATATATATATATATATATATATATATATATAGTGACAAATTCTCCCTGCGGTCCTTGTACTACTGTAGTAGAGGATAATAACTTATAAAGCGAAAATCACAACAATTACAACAAGGCAGCAAAGCTGTCAAATGTACAGACAAAAAGAAGGAAAAAACAAAATAGTGTACAGTCAATTCTGATGCAAAAGTACATTATGTTAAACTGCAAATTCAACATCAAGTTTTAATTATGCTCAACAGGTAATTCCAATGTAAGTAAAATGTGTAACAAGCATAAGGCTTCAGCCCCATAGGAGTTCAAGTTCACACTCTGAAAATGTATAACTTCCAGAAAAAGAAGTCAATTAGACTGCTTATCTCAGGCTGCATTTTAGTCCTGTATTTCTTTTTTGAAAGTTTGGCAATCATAAGTAACATGGTTTTCCCATAATGGTTTTCATGGCAGCAGCACCCAAAATTCTTCTATTCTGATGCAATATTACATAATGGTTAACAGCATAATGACAATCAATTTTTAATAATAAAATAAAGGTATCATGGATTTTCAGAAAATGTGACTAGCATGGGTCTTCAAGCCTGTGGAACTTCAAAGTCACACCTTGAAATTAAATGCCAATATGTGAAAAATTAAACTTTCACAAAAAAACTGTTTAAGCGACAGAAAGAATTACCAAACAGATTGCATTTCACAAAAAAACTGTTTAAGCGACAGAAAGAATTACCAAACAGATTGCATTGCCTTCTGAAGCTGTATTTAAGTCCCATGTTTCTTTCTGTAAGTTTGAGAACAGTAAATGACATGGTTTTCCTTAAATGGTCATCATGGGAGCAGTGCCCAAAATAGGTTTATTTTTAAATTTTGATGCAATATTACATAATGTTTAACAGCATAATGATCATCAATTTTTAATAATATCATGTATATTCAGAAAATGTGACTAGCAAAGGTCTTCATGTNTATTTTATTTACATTGGTGTTACCTGTTGAGCATAATTAAATTTTGATGTTGAATTTGCAGTTAAGCATAATGTACTTTTGTATCAGAATTGACAGTAGCCTATTTTGTGCATTGTTATTTTCAGCTTTTTGTCTGTACATTTGACAGCTTTGCTGCCTTGTTAATAATATCATGTATATTCAGAAAATATGACTAGCAAAGGTCTTCATGCCCATGGAACTTCAAAGTGACACCTTGAATATGCCAAAATGTAAACTAGACAGCACTGTGCTGAAATGGGTTTATTTCCATTTTTAACACTTTTTTAATATAAGATGAAATAAACAGTTTACTGCCATTTTTATATGATCAACTAAGAAAATTGATGAGATGGGACAAATATCAATAGAACTGTGTCAAATGTCCAATTTCCTCCATTCTGACATTCTGAACATAGTAAATGATTGAATTTGACTGATATGAGTTTATTTCCATCTTGACACTTTATTACACAATACACGATAACAAGTTTACCATCATTTCTACATAATCAACTAACAATGTTGTAAAGATGCAAGAAATGTCAAACAAACACTTTTATGTGTCTTATTAATTAAATAATAAGACTGTTAACATGCCTAAGAATTGAATTTGAGGAAATGTGAAAAAACAGCATGACTTCTAAAACAATGGCCCAATTATACTAATTTTCAAACTCAACCTGCATTTTAGTAAGATTGACCACTCCTGTGAGTTTAATGACAATTGGTCTATCTGTTTTTCTTATATTGTGTTTACAGTGTTGCATATATGCTAACAGCATAACTACTAAAATAGTGGCCCAATCATGCCGATTTTTGAACTTGACCTGCGTTTTAGTAAGATTGATTACTCCTGTGAGTTTCATGACAACAGGCCTATCGGTTTTCCTTAAAATGTGTTAACAGGGTTGCATATATGCTGAAAAGTGAAAAAACAGCATAACTTCTACAATAATGGCCCAATCATGCTGATTTTCGAACTTGACCTGCGTTTTATGAATATTCATCAGCTCTGCAAATATAAAGCCAAAAAGTAAAACTGCCCTCCACTTATCATGTTAACAAGGAAAGTGCATGGCATCGGCATCGGTGCCGGCATCGGCGACGACGACAGACGCAGGTGATGGCAATATGTACAGACACATCTGTGTCTGTACATAAAAAAGAATGTGAAAAAAAAAACTCCAAACCACAGTAGAGGTTCTTATATGTTTGTCAAAACTGTAAAAAAAAAAAAAAAGGACATCACTATTCTAAGTTATTATTGTATTGATATACAGTTCAATTTATTTAAGTTTAACTTTCATAAGACAAAACCAAAAAAAAAAAAAAAAAAAAAAAAACAGCCTTATAGGGATTTGGATTTTTGATCAATGAATTTTGTCTTTGAATAAATACATGGACTAAGATTACCCTAGATATCTGCAAATGAGATAGGCATGGTGATAGTAGAGCGGTGTTTTCAGTGTTCTCTGCATACGAATACTGGGTTAAATCCCTAAATGTTTATAAGCTTAACTTTGACAGCATTGAAGTACAATGTGAATAAACTAACAGAAAACCTCAAACCACTTTGACTTTCTAAAACTAAATAGCATTGTAGGTTACACATATATTTGTAGCACCAAATCATCTGATCTCAAAAGTACTATTATAGTGCATTTATACTATACATGTGAAATAAGGCACTGTGATTTAACAATTCACCAGTATATAATTGTAAAATGTTCTTCAGCTTCAAAAAATTTCGATGCACCATATATTAGTACATGTAGACCTCTTAGAACAATTCTTTCTTTAAAAAACAATATAATATATAGTATCACATATATTAATATTGTGCCATTTATTTCAAGTCCGACAAAAACGGTGAGCATTAAGGGCCAGACTCAACAGAGATCCAAACCTTACAAACAATAAGAAACCTTAATCAGGGCTCTGACATAAAATACCGTGAGGTAAGAAATCGGCCTATTTCCAACCTCAGCCCTTTAGTGCTGTCTCATTAAGTATACATTACTAACTGACAGCAATCAAGACAGTTAATTGTTCTGATCTTAATTGAGAAAAATACAAACAAACATTTTACACTGGACTAAATAAAAAATTCAACATATATACGTACACATAAGAATAGGTCACCAATAGCTGGTAAATACAGATGTTGATCTCCCAACCACAAGGAATTATAGGTTTTATAGTCTGGTTGTTATCATGGCAAAAACATAAAAATTAATAGATGGAAAACAGGACGATTCAATACTTTACTGACCTCCTTTGGATTTAAACTTTAAGGTAAAATGGAAGGAATAGTTGCAAATACAATCAAAATTATCAAAAGAAGATATTTCTCCTACAAAACATAACATAAGTCCCATCCCTTACCAAATGGAGGAAAGATTGATCTTGGGCCCATAGATTTACTATAAAACATTTCAAAGTGCACTATACTTTAAAAAATGTCCTATATTCACTCATGAGTATTTAATTTTCTTTGTAAAATGTTTTTTACCACAGTACATGTAGCACATAAGAGACTATTTCAAATGCAGTTTCTGTTTATATTTTTTCTTAGCGAATGCCTCTCTTAAGAACTTCGGCCAAGAAAATGGCCATTCATAATCATTTGGAATGACACCATCAACCTTTGACTCAAAGAAAAAGAAAAGTGGGAACCAAGCCTTGGCCCTCTTTCTGTCATGACGCATTACGTTGGCATTGTTGGCAAGAGTATGGTAATAAAGGAACAGCCTTGAAGCAATATAAAAGGCAAAGAACACATCAATAGAGTAGTGTTCATGAGCAGCTAAAATAAAGAAAAGTCCAAACAGATTGAGTACCCAAGTGAATGTGTGAAGATACACAAAGTTCCTTGGAGTATCTGAAAAAGAGCAAAGAAAGGCCTTCAGTGTCACATATTCCTGCAATTCACACATTTATGACGAAAAAATTATAATAACAATAAGAATAGCATTGAATACTCTATATAGATTACCATTTATATTGTGTTATTACCCTTCTCAACATACGATGACCAAGATAACAGCAAATATATGTATATCACCATTAAGATGACTTCAATTCTTAAGCATACAAATTATTTTATACCACTTACATTCAGTAATGAAGAAATTAAACAGCGTCAGCCACACAGTGTGTCCACTAAACATATAATCTCCACAGGTGCGAACTCCTTGCAGTGACATGCCCATGCCTCTCCAAATCTCAAATGCCCTTTCAAATCTAGCAGACCATGTGCGGTAGGGCTGATGAAATTAAAAGCAAATCATAAAACAAGATAAATACAATATTTCCAATATAGTGTGGGTAAGTTATTTATATTCAAAATTTGTTTCAATTTAAACTTGTCAACTTTCATTTTTTTTTTTTTTTTTTTTTTTTTTTGAATCTCAAGTGTTATGTGTTGTTCAAACACAATCAAACTGCTGTCATGTTAGGCCATAAGGTTTATGTGCAAGCCTCATATACATGGATAATAAATAGTTGTAATTTGATTTTTAATAATTCAAGTTCAATAAAATTCCACAGACAAGAAGTATAATGAATACTGTTAACAAAAATTACATTTCAGAATAAATAAAGGACAAATTCTGAGATATTTTTTCAGACTTGTTAAAACTTTTTCCCCCAAGTACTTGCAGGTGCTTCAAAATTGTTAGAAAACAAAATAATGCAAATGCAGACTTCAAATGAAGCCTTCAGTTTGAGAATAAAGTTAATTTCATGAATCTCGTGAAAATATGCGAGACAGGAAAAATCTATTTGAAAGCAGATGATGCATAAATATACTTTGACCATGTTAACAAACCTACATTGCACCTAACAAAGAAATGTGTGAGAGTACAATAATTTGTTTTCATATAATGAAATGATGCCAATGGATAAAATAAAAAATGGAGACAGGTTGTAAGAGTATATAACTTAGTTTATTAAGAATGAATACACACACAAAGAGAAGTTCGTGCAAAGGAATGATCTGAAAAGTTTAGTGAACAGAACATTTCACAAAACAAAAAGGAGAATAAAGAAAAAAAATAACATGTAAGTATAAACAGATTTGTCAGCTTACCCTGAACTATCTTTTCTGTTCCTATTTTTGCCTTTTTTTTAATCACAATTCCTGGTCACAAATACTGTCGTGATTTTTGTTCTTAAACACATACCAGAAAAATATCAGCCCTTTCCTCATCCTTGAGATAACTGGCATGCTTATCTCAGACATGAGCCTAGGTTTAAAAATAACCTCGGAACATTTATCATGGGAGATCCTGACGAATCTTAGGAACCATCAGAACTGAATAAAGAACAAGGAATTCCGCATTTCCGTAAAAAAAGCTTGTGTCTGTCATCTAGGATGGTATTAATACCTTTTTCTCCATTCCAACAAAATAAAATAAATTTGTCAAAATGATAATTTTTGTAATTAATATCAATCAACTCCTACCTGAGCCTGACATTCCAGGTGTATTCCCGGTACTGAAAGTGAGGTGATCAACATTGTAACACACCTGAGCAAGAAGATGGTCCCAGCCAAAGAAAACATCCTTCTCAGAATGATAAATCTGCAAGCAAAAGTTCACACATTACTGCTTTCATGTTACAACTGGCAGGGATTAACACTTCAGACAATACTTGCTGTGAATTTGTCTTTAATACAAAAGTCTAAAATCATGTTGGTTTGATGAATAATAGAAAACCATAAGCTATTTAAAGCATAATGCTCTCATTTGACATACCATCTTGCTGTATCCACATTACAAATTATTTTCAAATAATGCCTTATCTTTACTTCTGATTGCTCAAATTAAAATATATACAAAATCATTTTGTTCTGTTGTAATATTAAAGTTTTATGATATCACATCACACCAAATCTAGTCTGACAATCTCTTTTCTAAGCCAACATCAGGATAAAGTTTACATTAATTATTATTTTTATAATTCACTATTCAAATGTTACAATAGGTTACATGTAAGTAATTTTGTGAAATTCAATGAACGTTTACCTGTACTTGTGGAAGAAGAGAGTGATGACCCAAATTGTTCCCAGGATCAGCCCACATAGTTCACAAGCTTCAAAAGCCCAAGGCATAAATGGAACATTATCCAAGATCAGATCTGGAAGGGGCGGATATTTGTGCTTGTCAGGCACACGATCATGAACAATAACCATGACAAAAGATGTGACCAGGAACACAGTGAAAACATAGAAAAAGGCAAGAAGTGTCTTGAAAAGTTCTGGGTCTAATAATGTACTTATTGGTCCAAAGTTTTCAACAGACACATCAGATTCCACTGATGAAGCACTTAGAGATCGGTTGACCCTTTTTGGTACACTTTCACTTGATTTACACCAGTATTCATAAGAGTCAGAACTCTGTTTCAAATTTTCTAACTCTATATCTTCAGATGTGACATGGTATTTATTCTTCTTCCTCAGCTCTTGGATACAGTGACCAAGTCTTTTAATGTGTCCCAAAATCTGCATCTGCAATGGCCATTCTTTGAGATCGGTTTCTGTCAGTCTTAGGAGGGCTGGGCCATCTATATCATGCTTGTTACATAAAAGGTCTATGTACTCTGCAAAGCCATTGTCTTTCAGCCACTGTCCAACTTCTTTTGTTGTCCACAGGTCTGGTCTTGTCATGGTTACTGTAAAGAGTTGAAAAAATAATAAAATGAATACAACACATAGATATGTAAATCATTAAGTCTGCCTATCCTCTGGAGTAAGAGAGCAGTGTGCCATTCCTTGTAAAATGATAAAGTGGCAATACTGGGTACAATACACAAAAGAATTAAAATAAATTTCACGGGAAATATCAGAGAAAGTGGCAAAATACAAAAACCCAATTCCAATCACGGGTAATGTTTTGGTGCTCTTTTACTCTTCTATTTAGCATTAATTCTAAGCACTTGCAACAAACGCTAAAACAAAACTGCCCGTCTTGTTCACTAAGGCGGGCTGGTTCTAAAGTTCACTTTTCTCTATCTAGTTGTTTGTAATCGTATCATGATGCACGATTGCGTTAGTAGAGATTCAGACATGCCGGTTCCAGCTATTACTGACGCTCGTAAATGTCTTTTTGTGATAATAAAGTGCATACAAGTAGCCAGCAGCCCATTATTACCATAAAAACAATATATTTCAAAAACTAACCTTCGCTAATTCTTAATTTGATTCCTTTTTTCAAAGCCACACTGGTTAAGAGAGCAAACATGTGTCATTTCAATCTTAGCCAGCACATGTCAGAAAATCAAGGAAGGAGGCAGCCATTGTGAATACGGAATGATGGTAAAATATTTCGAAGGGGAAAAAAATTAACAAAATAAATTTGATTTACTAAAATTTTTATTTCAAGATTATACTTTGATATTTTTAAATAATAAGTATGTTATAAGTTATTCTTTAATAGTTTTGAACTAAGGACTCCGTGGAAAACAGCTAGCCAACCTGTACATAGAGGTCACTTTCGAAGGTCTTCTTGACAGAGGAAACGTGAGTACTCCGAATTCTATGGATTAATGTATTGTTTGCATAAATGCAAAAACATCTGTGTTTCTTATGCATGTTTACTTTAATGTATCTTTACGTTTGTAATGTTACATGTTGTCATTTCCTCAGTGTTGCGATTTTCAATGAGAGGGCAGCCCTTGCAATTCTTATAAAAATGGCGTCTGCACGATTAGTCAATAGCAAACCTCCACTGCCATGATGCAAATAACGCCAACGTTGCATGCGTTGTTACTATAAGTTTCACTTCATACCATGCTGTCATTTAGAGATAGTCTAAAACGCTGATCAACAACACGTATATAGATTTGACACCTAGCCGAACAAATCGGGAGGACGTGATCTTCTGTCACACCTCTCTCTATATATGAGTTATTGTATTGATAAAAATTTTATTTTGTAGATTTCATCATGTCTGTTCCACCGTGCTTTGCTGACCTTGGCAAAGATGCTAGGGACGTGTTCAGCAAGAAGTACAGTAAGTATAAGTTTAGCAATCAGTATTTTTTTTACGAAATTTTCATTTAATTTCGATTTCTGCTACTGCCCCAAAATGTTCTTTTAATATCTTTGCAGTGAGTATGTGAGTATTCAGGCAATTGTATTGAAAGACAGTAATTCCTATGGTTAATTTATCTTAATATCAAGATATTAACACTTTTGTTGTAACATTACTAGTTTTATTTTTGTGCATTGTATTGTTACCTAAGTTTTCAGCATCATAAAATGCCCCCATTTGCATGTTTCAGATTTTGGGTTTTTCAAGATAGAAACAAGTACAAAGACCAAATCTAATGTGGAATTCAAGGTAGAAGGAAGCTCAAACCATGACACAGGGAATGTCTTTGGTACTTTTGAAACAAAGTACAAATGGGCTGACCCCGGTATGTGTTGATATTACATAAGTTGTTTTACAAAATAGAGTAAAATAAAATCAGTGCATTGCAACAGTTGTGAAATACAATCATTTCATTAAAAAAAATTACAGCTCTTAAAAACATGATTCCAGGTATCACTGTGAAGGAAAAGTGGAACACTGACAATATGTTGTCAACTGATATTACCATTGAAGACCAGTTACTGGAAGGTCTGAAGTTGACTTTAGATGGCTCTTTTGCTCCAGTCTCTGGGTATGTCTTATTATATAGATGTGATTGATTATATGTGAGTAATTTCTAAAGTATTTGTTTAGAATTCAACATTAGTGAGGTAATGCAATATGAAAATGATTGCAATGCAGTATATAACCTAATTTACTGTATGTATTATTTGTAGTAAGAAGAGTGCCAAGATCAAGGCTGCATACAAAAGGGATTACATAAATCTCAACTGTGATGTGGACTTGGGTTTTGCTGGACCAACTGTACATGGTGCAGCTGTGCTTGGGTAAGTTGCCTGTTCTCTTTTCAATCTTGAGCAACAGGGAATCTTATTTATTTCTGAAAATCAATCTACACCTTAGCAAACCTAACATAATTGTTTGCATGGGAATGAAAATGAAAAATAAATCTGAGGTAGAAAGGAAATGTATAAGTTATGTGGAAAATAAGAGAATTTTTTGAAATTTAAATTTAGTTGTTAAATGGATGACTTTTTTTTGGGGGGGGGGGGTTTACAGGTTTTTTTTTTTTTTTTTTTTTTTTTTTTTTTTTTGCGGGGGGAAATTTTTTTTTTTGAATGCGAAATTGGTTCAGG